AACCTACCCTCTGTTCTGGAGGGAGACACTGTGCCTTCAAGGCCGTTGACTATAAAAAATTCTTGAAAAGATAGTCCAGAACAAAGGTCATCAATGCCTGTGCCCACAAGATGTGCAGAAATGTGAGAAACCCATAGGGGATTCCCTCTATATAAGTTTGTGCTAGCCATCGGGGAATAGTCTTGCATAAAAGTGTCATAGAGATCATTAATTTACCTAGTGCTAATTTTAATCTGTGGCATCTCCAAACTCTTCTGGAGAAATTAAGTCGACACAACCCAGGTATGCATTGATGCTGAAAGGTGAAATCAGTGGGCATTCAGGATCCACTGAATGACCAACACTGTTGCAAATATGAAATAGAAGATACAAGCCATGCCTTTCATTTTATCCAAAGATAAGTAGCTCACACAGAGCCCACTGGACTGCATGCAGCCCTTCTAGCTCCTTAATACTGTCTGTGATCTCATTTCAGGATGAAAGATTAGAAAGTTGCCTCTGAATTGTTATTTCTCAGACATGCCCATATGTTACTGTTTTAGTGGCTAAAAAGCATTACCGATTTCTCCTTGATATTCTTTCACTCAGTAAAATAGGTATTGTAAGTTTTAAGAAAACGCATTTTTCTATGTAATTCAATAAGGTTATTCTCTTTTTCAATGAAAAATAAAGCACTTAAAAGGTTTTTTTTTTTTCCCTGAGTTTGATCTCATAGACCAAAGGAAAAAAAAAAAAAAAATCCAAACAGCTACTCACTACTAATCACATCTAAGTAAGAATTAATGGTTCTGTGAACTTGGAAATTCTAAGTGAACAGTCAACCTCACACAATTCAATCACTGACCAAATTGCAATGAAACTTATTTGAAATGAAGGATAACTCTCAAATGATCATGTTTGCTTTCATTTTGTTTTAGGAAGACTAACTGAAATATAAATCTATAATATATTCATAAAAGCTTTATTCCTTAAGGTTAAACATTTCATGAAAATTTCTCTGTCCCTTTGAAAGTTATCATGAAGCAAATGAAAAAGTAATGGTGGACTGGTGGACTAAAACTTATATTTCTTTCCTTAAAGGCGTTACGGATGTTTACGAAGACCTGGATTTTTATTTTTATTTTTTTTAACAGAACCATCTAGCATATGCCTTCTCAGCAGGAGCAATATCACCCCCAAGGGAATCAATATTGGTTCTTGGAGAGGTGGGGGGAGAAAAATCTTAGGTATTACAATGGTTTGTGACCTTCCAAAGGACCACAATACAGAAGCAGATATATAGTTATATCTGTAAATATTAATGTGGAGGGGATTAGGAAAAAGATATCTAACAAGGCTCTGTTAAGGGAGGAGGGAACGATAATGGAAGAAAAAAGTTGAGAAACTGATCTGGCATGACATTTTTTTTAAGTGTTTTCAGATGGCAACCACTAAATTAAGCAAAGGGATTTATTTGCAATTCCTCTCTACTTTATGTCATATTTGTTCTTTTCATCTCTTTAGTCCATAAACAATATAATAGCTTTAAAGAATTTTAATGAAATGACGTCCATAATGTTGTTGTAGATTCTTTTCATGTTTGTATATTATTTATGTAAAATCATAAATACTCTTTGGTATTCTGTTCTCGTCACTCGTATACAGATATTCATCTTTCTACATAGTCTTCATAATGACTGCTTTTATGAGGATACCTGAGATTCAGTTGTATCGCAGTTCTCTTCCGGTTGTACTTCTGTGTCTAAAAATTCCTTCCGTGTCTTCTTTGCAGTTCTGCTTCTCCTGACTGCCTATTAAAAACTGAGATCCTCAGGAATTGCATCCTATGCCCCTCCTTCTCATACATCTCAGGGTCATCTCACCCATCTTCCAACAGCACTCTCATCTTTAGCTCCAGTCCAGACTTCACTCCTGGGTTCCAGATTCATATATCCATCTTAGTTCCCGGACCAGGGATCAAATCCATGCCCCTGGCAGTGGAAGCACAGAGTCCTAACCACTGGACCACCAGGGAATTCCCCATATTTCCAACTTCTTACTGGATTTCTCTACTTAGATATTCCTCAAAAACATTTTTTTTTCAAACCTGTTTATCCCTTGTCCTCTAGAGGCTTTTTCTCCCCGTTGATCTCACCCTTCCAGCCAGGTCCTAATGAATGTACTAATACCTTTAAAATATTCCTCCTCTCTATTCACTCTGCTAGCCCTTTAGTTCAGTTCTCTATCTCTTACTTAGACAATTACACTGTACTCCTAAACATCTCCCTGCCTTCTGTCATGCCATCCCCAGAGTCATCTTCCATAGTGCTGTCTGACAAGTCTCTCTAAAGTATAAATCTGATCAAGTCACTTCCTATATTGCTTATGGCTGCACTGCCCAATACAGCAGCCACGAGCCACATATAGCTGTTGAGCGCTTGAAATGTAGCTAATCTGAAGTGAAGGATGAAATAAAAACATGTTAGGTTTCTGAAACTTGCTCTAATAAAAGGAATGTAAAATATATAATTTTTGTATATATTGAGTTAAATATTAATATATTAAAATGCATTTCACCTCTTTCTTTTTTTATTTTTTAAATATGGCTACTAGAAAACTTAAAATTATTTAGGTGGCTCACATTTGTGACCTGCATTATATATCTGTTGGAGAGTGCTGGCTTATAAAACAGTGCTCAAACCCATATCATCATGTTAAAAAATCAAATTCAACTGAGTAAATTTTAAAGAGCTAATTGGATTTATTCAATGAATCATAAATTGGGCAGCATCTCATCTAGTAAATAGAAAGGAGCTCCAAAGAACTGTACAAAATGGAAGACTTTTATAGGCAGAAGGAAGCAAGACAAGGAAGTTCTTCTAGCAAAGAGTGGATTATTCAGACAAGGTTACCTTCCTTTGTGGGACAGTGGGGGGTCTGTCAGGTAGATTTCCTTGCTAGTGTTGACCAGGAAATTCCAGATTGAGTGGTTAAGATTACATTCCTGGGAAAGACTGAAACTGCAGTTAGGTTAAGTATCAAGTCTCTGGTTGGTGATGTGAGTCTTAGCACAAGTGACTCCATTTTGGGCCTGTTGTCTCTTTTTTAACAACAGAATTATGATGTTTCGTCATCTGGCCATCACTTGCCTAGTTCATTTCATCTTCTTCTAGCTGTCATGCAAAGATTTATCTGGGTTCATACCTGGGCTCCTCCACATGCCAGCTGTGCGATCTGGAGCAAGATGCTTAAACTCTCTAAGTTTCAGTATACCCAGCTGAAAAACAGAGATATTTCCTGCTTCGATATGTTGTTGGGAGGATTATAAGATATAACCAATATGGGAATTCCCTGGCGGTCCAGTGGTTAAGACTCAGCGCTTTCACTGCTGTAGGCCCGGGTACAATCCCTGGTTGAGGAACTAAGGTCCCACAAGCCACGTGGTGCGGCCAAAAAAAAAAAAACAAAAAAGAAAGGATATAACCAGTGTGAAGTACGTACTGCATAAAATTTAACTCTCCCAGATACATTCCAGCCACGCCAGACTTCCTTCATTTCCTCTTTTCTTTCCATTGTAAAGAGTAGGTCATGGTTCAGATGTGTCTGCAGCCTTAATATTCCTAAAAGTGCACAATCCTCTTT